CTCGCCCCAGCCTCCGGGCCAGCCGGGCCGCAGCCAGCTCGCCTGCTCCGCCACCGAGAGCCGCTCCTCACGGAACGCCTCGAACTCCTCCTCCACGCCCGCCCACTCGCCGTCCGACAGCCGGTTCGTGCGCCGCATGCGGAAGAGCCGCTCCTGCGGCGAGAGGCGCGGCGGACGGGTGGGGTGGCGGACGGGTGGGGTGGCGAGCCGGGTGAAGAGCTCGCGCGGGGGCGCAGCGCGCCATCTCGCGCGTCGCCTTCCAGATGGCGAGCAGAGACGCGCACGCGCGCTGCATCAGCAGGTTGACGGCGAGCTGGTGCGCCTCGGACACCTCGGGCGAGCCGCGCTTCATGCCCTTGAGCTTCTCCGCCGCCGCCTCGTACGCCTCGATGTCCGCCGTCGGAAGCTCCACCCCAAGCCCGCGCGCCATCCACTCGTCCGGGTCATGCGCCTCGGGCTCGGGCGGCAGGCCGAACGGGCTCGCCGAGAGCACCTCTTTGCGCGCAAACGGTCCGAGGCCCGCGCGGTGGAGGTAGACGGCCACCGCCGCGAGCAGGCAGATCAGGGTGGCGCCGATGGCGAGGTAGTCCACGGCCATGCGCTCGGTATTCTTTTCCGAAGTCGGCGCGAGGCCGTGGAGAGCGCAGCTGGGAGAGCGCGCGGGCGGCGCAAATTCTTTTTTGCTTTTTCTCTATTTTGGGGGGGTCCCAGGGAAGGCTTATTTTTGCTCACGCTGTGAGGCATCACGCCGCGGGGCTGCTCTTCTCGAGGGGTGAGGCATCACGCCGCGAGTTTCCAGAATGGAGCACCAAACACCCCTCGAAATTTCCGGAAACGCAAAGTGCGGGCGAGTGCGGCATGCCTTTTTGTTTTCCGGAAAACCTTAAAGGCCCACTCCCCGCCCTTTCTCAGAGCTGTGTTTGCGCTCGCTGTGCGCTCTCCCGTTGCTTCATGTTGCTGGCTACTCTGGAGTCCTCCTGGCTGCTCTCCGCCCACCAGCCGGCCACAGGCCGCCACCCTCGCCGGCCGGCGTCGAGAGAACGGCCAGACTCGACCGACCGGGTGTCGCGCCGCTGCCTGCTTCTCGCGCCGCTGTAGCAGCGCCAGCGGCTCGGCCGCGCATCCTTCACACACGCCGCCACAACCAAGCTGAGCGGGCCCAGTGTCGAGGTCTGGTGCGAGCTGCATGTGAGGGGCGGCTTTGGCCACAGCAGGTCCACCAGACGGATCTCAAAGCTTGCCGTCGGCGTGCTGTCGTGGCGAGAGCCGAGACCGCTGCAGAGGAGCCGAGTGCAGTGACGATCCAGAGGCTACCAGGGCCACCAAGTGGTAGCCCTTGTCAATTATGAGCAGGGCTGTGCTTTGATGGGGTTGTGCTTGAGCGTGTGTGAAGTGGGAGTGCGTGCCGGCGGTGTCTGTGGGTGAAATAGGCGTGTGTGAGGCCGTAAGAGCCGTGGTATGAGCCAGAGTGAGCTTCATCACCCAAGATAAGTGCGGTCTGGGACAGATTAGGCTTGGTACTGATGGGCCTGGGCCAGGAGAGCGACAGAGATGGCGAGGTGGTGAGCTGGGAAGCCGCTTCGGCACCTGGACGTGTGCGATGAAGT